GCAGCCTATCCTAGGTACGGCTGAGGTGCCTGTTACTGTTCCCTGCATGCCATAATATGTTGTCTCTTCCAAACCATATAGAAGACACAACATTAAGCACATGCCTCATTTTGCTTTTGTCACTTGTTTTTTGAACTGGCTTGTTTACAAGCATTGCTCTTTACAAGCTAGACTGTGTGTATTAAGTTTCTCTTGAGCTGCATGTTTGATTAACAAGAGGAATGCACAGACTTCTGTAAAGGAGGTGTGGTCATTCTCTGACTGCTTTCTGAGAAGTGTTTTAAAAAACCAACCGAACAACCCCACAAAGCTGTCAGTTTGAAGCAAAGACCGGTAGAAAAGAAATGTAATAAAAATAATTTAATAGAATCAGAATGTTGAATTGGACCTTATTACGGGAGAGCGGGAAACTGTATGAAAATTAGTCTTTTCATGAAGAGAGTTTGTTGCTGTTTTCTATTCCCTGCCACCAGCAGCAAGCAAGTCTCTGATCTGTGTTGCTATACCTGAGAGCAACAACAAAATTAACGATCATAGGAGAATATCCTCCTAGCCTTATGTAAAAGGCTTCACTCCAGTTATGCACAGACACAAAGCAAGTTGCATGTCTGCTCTCAAACAGAGGCTAAATATTCTTATGCACAGAGACCAATGATTTAAGAAATACAGGCTTTACCTTTTTCTTAATTGTCCATATTTTGATAGCAGTGTAATCTTTGGTCAAATCAACTTTTACACACTATGGTCCAGTACATCTCCAACAAAATAAGCTGGCATTTTTCCTCTTACCAATGTAATTACAGCAGTAGTTGGTGATTATGACAGTGCCCCTTCAAGATTGATAATTAGTACGTTAAGCTTTATGTATTTTTCTAAAAATATATGACAGAACTAAAAAAAAACCAAAAACCCCAAAAACATTATAAACCAATTTTTAGTTTGGCTTGCAAACACAGCAAGGGGGAGTATCTACATCCAAACATTGTAGCATTGTGTTAGTACAAGAGCTGGAAGTGAAATAGTCTATAAACAAATTGTCTCATGACAAGTTAAAGAAGTCTGGGCTGGATGAATGGACTATAAGGTGGATAGAAAGCTGGCTAGATTGTTGGGCTCAACGGGTTGTGATCAATGGCTCCATGTCTAGTTGGCAGCTGGTATCAAGCGGAGTGCCCCAAGGGTCGGTCCTGGGGCCGGTTTTGTTCAGTATCTTCATTAATGATCTGGAGGATGGTGTGGATTGCACTCCTCCTGGGAGGAGTGGTAGATACGCTGGAGAGTAGGGATAGGATACAGAGGGACCTAGACAAATTAGAGGATTGGTCCAAAAGAAATCTGATGAGGTTCAACAAGGACAAGTGCAGAGTCGTGCACTTAGGACGGAAGAATCCTATGCACTGCTACAGACTAGGGACTGGCCAGGCAGCAGTTCTGCAGAAAAGAACCTAGGGGTTACAGTGGACGAGAAGCCGGATATGAGTCAACAGTGTGCCTTTGTTGCCAAGAAGGCTAACGACATTTTGGGTTGTATTAGTAGGAGCATTGCCGACAGATTGAGGGATGTGATCATTCCCCTCTATTCAGCATTGGTGAGCCCTCATCTGGAGTACTGTGTCCAGTTTTGGGTCCCACACTACAAGAAGGATTTGGAAAAAGTGGAAAGAGTCCAGTGAAGGGCAACAAAAATGATTAGTGGGATGGAGCACATGACTTGTGAGGAGAGGCTGAGGGAACGGGATTGTTTAGTCTGCAGAAGAGAAGAATGAGGGGGGGATTTGATAGCTGCTTTCAACTACCTGAAAGGGGGTTCCAAAGAAGATGGATCTAGACTGTTCACAGTGGTACCAGATGACAGAACAAGGAGTAATGGTCTCAAGTTGCAGTGGGGGAGGTTTAGGTGGGATATTAGGACGAACTTTTTCACTAGGAGGGTGGTGAAGCACTGGGGAGGTGGTGGAATCTTCTTCCTTAGAGGTTTTTAAGGTCAGGCTTGACAAAGCCCTGGCTGGGATGATTTAGTTGGAGATTAGGTCCTGCTTTGAGCAGAGGTTGGACTAGATGACCTCCTGAGGTCCCTTCCAACCCTATGAAATACTGTAACTAGTTGCTGTTTTTAAGTAAAAACACAAACAACCCCCAACCCATTAATGGAGACTTTTTTTAAAGATTGCTTCAATTTTAATATTTTAAAATATAAAAGACATTTAAAATATAAATATTGGTGTAATCTGACAAAAATCCTTTAGCCACTTATTTGTTCATTAACTTTACAAAAATAAACAATTCTTCATAAAGAATGTATTATCCTCTTTCCAGCTCTTGAATTGTGTTATCGAATCATCGTAAACCATGTAATTGTTTAAATATATACAGACTGAAACCAGATTGGGAAACCAGCCCAACCAATAATTATGGATTAAAGGTTAAGTCAATGACTCAGTTCTTCCTTTCCACTTCTGACCTGTTCTTCCCCGTCCTGAAACTAAGCCTGTCTCTTTCAGCTTTTGGCGGTTACTACAATCAATATTTGTATGTACCTCTGCACTTCCTGATTCCTTTCTTCCTCTCTTTGCTGTTGGCTTCCCACAGTACACATTTGAGTCCTATCTTCGCAGATGATAAAGGGTGCATTTTTTTTTCTTTTCCCAGTGAGACGGGCTCTGTCAATTCAGCTAAACATGATTAAAAAGCCCTGGTAAGCTGCAGTGTGCATCTACATAAGGAAAGTTTCTTTACCATGTGTTGGCTAACCTGGTTACTAATACATAGTAAAATCTTAGGCCGTGTGTACACTACGGAGACCATACTGGCATGGCTATGTGGGCACAATCCTGTAGCGTAAGCACAGCCTACACCAAGAAAAGGGGTTTTCTGTTAGTGTAGGAACACTGCTTCCCCAAAGAAAGATAAGCATTCCATCAGTGTAGCTATGTCAACATAGCTGTGTCCACACTGGGGGGTTAGGTTGGCATAACTGTGTTGGTCTGGGGTATGTGTGTGTGTAGGGAGGTGGTTCCCCCACACCCTTGACTGATGTACATGTAGCCATGTGGGACTAAGCCCAAGTGTGGACAAGGCAGTTTGTAGTCTTCATGTGTGTTAGCAAGTCATGGTAAAAACCAGTCTACCACCAGGCTTTTTAGTGAAGACAAGACCACAGGCTAATGTTAGAATTAACTGGCCATGTTATATGTTAGGGATGAGCATAGACTACAGCAGAGCCATTGTTTCAGACATGTTAGACCTTGTCTTTATGGTTTCTGTGCTACTTAAACTGTATCCATGTTGTGTATCTCTTCCTCCCTCTCTCCCTGAGTGACCAATACCCTTTCCTTTGTCTCCACTAGGATTTTACAACTTAAAACTAGTTCAAGTTAGCAACTTAAAAAAACAAAACCCACACCTTTTCTTAATCAAGATAAATGCATGTAGTTAGTGTTACAAAAACTATGTAGACAAGCCTTCGTCTCCACTTTAATGAGGATTCAGAGGGCTTTTTAATTGTTAAACTGACACAATTGAAAAATACTGTGTGTGCGCTTATCAAAGCATAGCATTGCTGAGTTTCACTCCACTGTGCACAGGTGCCTTTCGGCCAACTCATAGTTACCAGGTCAAGTTTTATCCTGAGGACTTTTTGTATCTGTTGTAAATCCTTGATAAACTGGGTCTGATGGAAATGCTGCAAGAATCTGGACTTCAGCAATAAATCCTTACTTAATAAGTTATGGCTCTTTGGGGATAATTTTCCCCTAAAGGTTTTAATGTCTCCAATAGCTAGACAACTAGATTGTGTAACAAGGTGTCTCACATTTCTGTGAGGTGTGGCCAGCAGAAGCTCTCGCTTATTAAAGTCAGCAGTTTCAGCTTAGGATGTGAATTTGAACCCTGTTCTTGGCTTCAGATTGCATGGGTTTATATCCTGGGAACTTGCTTGGAGATTCTGGGCTTGCATGAACTCAAACCTCCAACCTAAACTCATCTGAAAGTACCATCTTATTTAGCGGGAAGGAGAATCATAACTACTCAGGATTTGTCTGGTTTTGGATTGTTTCAAACTGTTCCCACCCACAGATGTATTGTCACCAGGCTTGAGTATGGTTATGAAAGTTTCACAACCTCCATTTCATACTCGTCATGGGAGAGGAGTATCTTTGTGTGTCACTCCCTAGAGTAGGATTTGTCGGTTGGCATTCAGCTGTTTATATTTAATGTAGTAGCTAATCGGAATAAGTGTTAGTTTTAGTTTGAGTGGAGCTACTCATCAGTGTTGTGGTTTAACAGCCTTGCCTACCCCCTCAGTTCAGTGACTTTTGTGGTGTGCAGAGAAACACATCTGTAGTGGGAGCCTGTCTGGGTGGAAAGACTTAAAGGGATGCTGCCTCCTCCCCATAAACAATCTTTTCACTCTCCCAAAGGCATAGAGGGATCTGGGCCTGGGGGAAAATGGGCAGGGCTGGAGAGCCAGGGCAGCAGGGAGTAGTTATGATTCCTTAAATACAATTAACAAGAAAAGTTGGGGTAGGTGGATTTTATGCTGCCCTACTAACTCTCCGCAGAGCACTCAGTAATTCATCTCCACCAAGTACCACAGCATACTTGGGTGCAGTGAGTCAGTGGCACTGTGGCCGGGGGAGACTGCAGACGATATGACCTTTGGCCCTTGCCTCCTACCCATGGTTCCATAGATTGGAAGCTGAGGAGAAGTGATAGCCTGCACAAAGGAGCTACAGTTTGTCCATTATTTTGTGCCACTGATTTAAGGGCATATGTGTATAAAATGTATTAAAGTGGAAGGGAACTGTCTGTGCATCAGTGTGAAAGTAGATCCAGTCTTACATTTAGTCTGTATTCTACTGTTAGAATATTTTTGTATATTCTAGTTTTGGATCATTTTAATATAGCTTAATTTGCATACACAACTTAAAAATAGCTCTGTGGGGCACTGTGCTAAACTGATACCTTTCTACTGTCTCCTTTATCCTTTGCCATTTATATAGTCTATTGCCTTTCACCACCACCTTGGCTATCTGAATCATTATATGGAAAGAGCTTATTTTGAGGACTCGGAGACAGGACTCCCAGTTCTATTTCTACCTTTGCCACCCATTCATCACTGAGCCTGCTTATTTCTTTCAGGTAAGCTAATTTCTCTTTGAATTAAATGAATGCCTCACTTCATATATCCCAACTCTCAGTCCATTAAAATGCTGCTAGAAACTCAAGTCCTGCCTGCTCTGAATGATGCTTAAGATCTCCTGGGACTTCTAAATCGGGGCTTGCTGTGGTGTTTCTGGCCAAAATATCTTCTCCTTTCCAAACTTGGGCAGTGTTTTTACTGTTGCCATTCACTCCACAAGTGGGTGAATGTCTGTGATGTGTTATATATAAATAGCAGTAAAAGCATGTTGAGTTCCAAGATAAGCTATGGTATATAATGTAAAATGTTTTGGATGAATGAGTGGAAACCTAAGTAAAACATTGGGACATCTATCGGGGCATAAAAATTAATCTTTTTATATAAAATATCCTTATTTAAACTAAATAGATTGTCATGATTTCAAATAGATTTTAAAAATATAAACCTATGTTAATGCATAATCTTAGTGTAATTTGTTCTTCTAACATTAATCCAATCCACATAGGGTCATCTCTCTTTTGAGTTCTTCTCCATTCTAGTCTGTTCCTCAGAATCTCTGCAGCAGATCAAATCCTTTCGAATGACATCCATCCATCTAGTTTTAGGTCTTCCAACCCTTCTCTTCTCAGTGTAACAGCCTGTTTTCTATTTATTCTTTGTCTTTTCACATGCCCAAACCATCTAACCCTGGATTCCCTCAGCTTTTCTATAATTGGTACCACCTTCACACTTCCCCTAATGTTTGTTCTGAACATGGTCCCTCCTTGTAACCTTAGGCATCTGTCTTAACATTTCCAGATCTGTACTCCAGATCTGATCCTGTCTCTTTCTCAGTGCCCAGTATTCAGAGTCATACCAAAGAGCAGGCCTAATTACTGTCTTGTAAATCTTTTCAGTTTAATAGGCATTCTTCTACCACTTCTCTCCATTTAGTCCATGCCTTTCTTCTTCTGTTCATAAGTTTGTCATTGAGTTCACCATTATTGTGTACTATGGAGCATAGGTACTCGAACTTCTGTGCTTTGTGGTAATGGCTGCTCCCTCCCTCCCTCCCTCCTCCTCCCCCCTCCCCGCAACTTACTCTCATTGTCTTCCTGCTGAGTATCTATCTATCTATCCTCTCTTTGATTTCTGTTAGTTCTTGTGCCATTTCTTTCAGATATACACCTGTATCTCTAATTCTTCTTCCCTTTCCTTTTTGCTCTCCCCCTCATAAACTTTGCCAGTGTAAATATTTCTCTCTCACCCTATATGGTGTGCTATAATCTATTACAATTTAAATAAAGTATTAAGCAGTACATGATTGCTGCTGATCTTTTAAAGAAAGTCAAACCACGGAGCTGGTGGCAGTCACTAACTAAGCACCTGGAACCAGAGTTTGTTGAATCAAGGTCCATGGCTTGGAGCCTCTAGGTGCTATGATACAAGAAAGGGAAGCTGTATAGAGTATCCACAATCAGGATATTTTAATTTGCTTGTTCACCATATATTTTTATCTTGAGGTTGGTGATATCAAATCTCTTACAAACCTGATCCACTTAATTAAAAAAAAAATCCCTATATTACTTCATCTGAGGAATGTATGGGCTTCTAGATTTCTCACTTGCACCTACCTGACCTACTAAAGACATGTTATGACATGTTATACCACATCCATGTAAAACTGGGCATGCTTTTACTGATATGAGGCCATGTGAACTGGTGAACAGCAACAATAGAGAAAAATCCTAATGTCCAGCTTTCATCTAAGTCAAGCTTAATGAATAAACCCCAAGAAATGTATGCCTATCTTGAGGCTATGAGATTTTTGTTCTTTTTATAGTCTGTCCATTCAGACTTTATTCATATCAATATTTACTACCTTGAAATTTATTTTTGTTGCAGTAGGCAAGCATTAAAAAATGCATTGGTTTAACTAAAGATGTGTGGCTTTTTGTCATTGTTTAATTAAATCTGTTGTTAAAACCACTGCAACATTGTTCGCAACAGTGTGTGGACACTTTTTTAAAAAATGAAGTCCAGTTGCTACAAGGTTTGAATCTAATTGAGTGCGCAGTCAGGGTTTTTCACCAGTTTTTTACTACATTGTTCTTTTAAACCAAAGCATTTTTAAACTTTAATCCAGCTTCGAATATAGACAAGACCCCTGAAAGACTCAAGCAGGAAGAGCAGCTTCTGTTTATGTATCTGAAGCCCCAGTAATGGGTAACAATAAACAGAATAAGAACATAACACTTAAATGGCATTGACGCACATTTACAAATGAAGGAAGAGCGGTTCCTGAGAAACTCCATATAAGAACACTTATTCTGGAATAAGGGGGTCTTGTTCCTGTTTAACTTAACCCACAAAGTGAGTTAAGGGTTTGTTCAGTCCAAAACTGGTGTTGATTTTTCTTCTCTCCAGAGAGACTCTTTGTATGCTCTTTTTAGATAATGAGCTTCTCCCCAAAATATAAATACACCTCTACCCCGATATAACGCGACCCAAAATTCGGATATAACGCGGTAAAGCAGTGCTCCGGGGGGGCGGGGCTGCGCACTCCGGTGGATCAAAGCAAGTTCGATATAACATGGTAAGATTTTTTGGCTTCCAAGGACAGCGTTATGTCGAGGTAGAGGTGTAGCTCTTAAAATGTTGTTCTAATTCAGCAGGGTTATATAGGATCTGATTTTAACATGGTTTGAGTTGGCTTGATTTTTTGAACAGCAGTTAGTTAATACCTCTCCCCTATCCTTCCTACGCACTCCCACTTACCTTCATCCTCATTTCTCACAATCAAGCTTCTGCTCCCACTTCTGGATTTTGAAGCATTTAAAGTATGTGCAGTTGCTTGAGGCCTTGCTGGCCTTTAAGCAAAAAGGGAAAATAAAAAAAGATCTTTACATGTCACTGATGTCCTTGAACTTGCATGCAATGTCTAAGTAGTGCTGAGTACTGGTAGACTGTATCAGTAATCCATGTGACAGCCCAATCTAGTTTGAGCTAAAATGGAATATTGAAAAAGTGCTGTTGAAACTGTTGCCACGAGCTCAGAGTTCTAATTAGCATCTAATCATGGTTTGTATTAATGTCAGCTACTTTATCGACTTTCCCCCCCTCCCTCTCCCCCCGGTTAACATCTGATTATCTGACTCACCAATTTCAGAGGTAGGAAAGTCTCTTAGCAGCAGTCAGTTGTATGAGGCCATTGGGCTTTCAAATAGTTTTAGGCCCTAATCTAGCAGTGAGTTCCGTGTGGGCACGGGGATCTGTCTCCACGGGGAGCTTGTTGTGGATTGGGGCCTTAATTTATTCAGAAGGCCTAGAAATTGTCGACTTTTGAAGTGGTCCATATAAAACTTTTTGCCCCCCCCCCCCAACACAAGTGTAAAATTCTTAAATTATAGCTTGATAGAGCCGAATGAAAAATATTTTGTCCACACAAATATTGGGCAGGCAATGGAAAAATCCTTGGCCACACACAGATGCTACAAAGCCCTGTCTCTCATGACACATTACCAGAGAGGGTGATCATTCTTTCCACTTCTTGAAATCAAATTTAAGTGTTATGCAACTTGCCTATGGCTAAACTTAAATTACTACAGTGCCACAGCTGCAGTGCTTCAGTGTAGACACAGTGACTTGGAACAAGTATAGACTAGAAGGCTGTCATAGCTGGGATATTTGATCTAATAGACGAGTCTTCAGAAATCTTTGGGAGGAGAAGAGGGACTCTTAAAACTTGTGCTAGTGTAGACAAAGCCTTTTCATTGGCTAAACTGTTTATCGGTTAGGGATGTGGAGGAAACTACCTCCCTCCCCCCCACCGATACATGTTTCACTGGCAAAAGGGCCAGTGTGGACAGCACTATGTTGGTGGGAGAGCATCTCCCACCGACATAGCTACCACTGCTTGCTGAAGGTGGCTTAATTATGATGGCAGGACTGCATGAAGCGGACACACAAGAAGCCTTACAGTTGCGGCTGTGCTGCTGTAAGGTCTATATCGGGGTGTGCAAACTACGGGCCGCTTATGGCCCGTCAGATGTTTTTATCCAGCCCTTGATTTCCTGCCAGGCAACGAGGTCAGGGGCTTGCCCTGCTCCGACTGCCTAGCGCTCCCCAGCCCCCGACTCTCAATTCCCTTCATGAGCACCATCTTCCAGCCTGCAGAGCCCCACTGCACAGGCACGACTTCACTGCACTGTCTCTGGGATCAGGAACCGCCCTCCCCCTCCCCACATGTAGCAACGCGCCCAATCCCCTCCCAATCTCCTATGGCCCCATCCTCAAGAGCCTCGAAACCGCCCAGGGCTGCGCCTGTCCCAGCTAGGGGTGCCTCTGCCCGTGGCAGTGCCTGGTAAAGCCGCCTTGATGTCACTGCCAGCAAGGCTCCTAGGAGACCCCGGTACCGCCCCTGTAGAGCGCCACATCCCATAAGTCCTCTCTCCCTCCACCATAGTATCATCCCTTACAGAGCCCCCCATTCTACACTCCATAGAGTGCCCCTCCCCCAGGGCCAGCATGAAAAGAAGGGTGTGTGTGTGTGTGTGTGTGTGTGTGTGTGTGTGTA